GCTCTGAATATGAAGGCAGATATTTCCCGGGATTTCATTACCTTCCTTCAGTGCCTTTAACCTACACAGAGCTCACCGAAGATCTTTGCCTTTCGGCAATTTCAGTTTCATACAACAGAAGTGTATTACACAGCAGTCACTATGGTCCACAATGATCGCTCTTACACTAATTGCATCCAGTAATTATTTAGATCGCAGTAACTGTTGCGTCTATGCTCCCAGTGCTTCTTACAATAGGTGGAGAAGTGCATTTAGTTCACAGACTGATATATCTATATATGTATTTACCCAGGGTAAAAATAGCAAATATTTCATGATGACCAATCCAGTTACTATAATCCTAAATGAAACATAACTTGTCCTCTAATACCTCAATTTCTTGATTTATCTTGTGTAGTTCAGCAAATTGCATTTTATACATTGGAAACCCTTTCTATATTTTCTTCTATACAGTGTTACGCACACTGCATGTTCCTGATGCTGAACATATGCACAAAATGAGTCCAACAAAACTACGTTTGATGAACCATATCATATTTTAATTACTTTTTCTAGATTTATATTATTAATAAGGCCCTATAAAAATAATCATCCATTTTCTTGATTGAAGACCCTCTGTCAAAGCAAGTATTACTATTAAGTAGGGTAAGATTTATTTTTTTTAAGGAATAAACACACTGTTGGATATGGGTCATGGTACTTCTCAGTCTAAGGGATTTTAGAGACTTTTTTTTTTTTTACACTTTGCAGAGGATTAAATGATCCAGTCTCTACAGAAATTACACATTCCAAAAGCTGAAAACAATCCAAGCTCATCATTATCTTCCTCTTCTTCTAAAAGGTTAATTTCTTTAAACAGACACTAATGAAATCATGACAAAAATAGAAAACATTAAAGGGACTAGAGAGATAACCAAATGAATTATTAGGATGGTGGAAGGTTTACAAGGAGAAGTTATGTCTAATGAGGACAGCTAGGCAATCAGCTAAATCAGTCAAACAAAATTTAAAAGGATGTAGTTCGTGACATATGCATATAGCAATGAGCCTGAACATGTTTATCTAGACTATCCCCAGATCACTCTTGCAGACCCGGTTTGAAACTCAAAAGTATGTGGATTATCAAATGAAAAATAAACATTGTAGGAGAGGTGCTCACTTACTGTAACATGGCATAATGCTACAGAAGTTATGGGGATTACGTGACTTTAAACTGAAAATATCATAGGGTTGTATATATGTGTATTTTAGCTGTGCGTAATACTGTAACATCCTTAGACTGCAGTAATTATAAAGTCTATTCCAAATTTAAAAAAAAAAAGAGGAAAAAAATCAGTGTGAACAGCAAAATGATTTGTAGCCTCACTGTCACCTGACACCCAAACAAGTGTGCTAGAGGAGCTGGTGAAAACCTCCTGAGACCTGATGGATGACACTTGTTTCCAGGATCTCAGACAAGATTGAATTCCCAGAGTCACCTCATCTAAAATATTATACATTATGTTCATATAATAGCCTCAACTGATACAGCTACAAGGCCTGAAGTGAAGGAGACTGAAAAGGATAAGAAGGAAAGAGACCATTCAGACCAGACAACAGATAGGGCTGAGAAATTATCTACTGTCACTCAAACTTTACTGGTACACAAAACGTTGAGATTTCAATCACTTCACATTTTTCTGTGTCACACAGAAATATGGGGGGTTTTAGGCTAACTCAGTAACCTTCTATATTGTCAAAGATTTTTTTTCTTATGTTTCCATTCCTAGTGTATGTATAGTGAAAATATCCTGATATATCTAGGATAGGTCTGACAAATTAATTGGGCAGTAGATTCAATTCACTATCAAAGAAAAAAGTTACGATAGTTTGAGTCTCACAAGAACAAAATTAAGTCATTATATCGTGAATTTTAGCTGCAACTTCACAAAAAGGTACGTTTTAATGGTTATAAGGAGGAATTATTCAGATGTGTGCCCAGACAGGCTAGGCAGAAGTTTAAGCAGAGGGAGAAGTTCATTCTCTAAGCTACAGGCATGTTGCCCAGATATATCTGCCCACATACTGAGCTGTCGATCATTTTAGCTGAGCTTTAATCCACGGGGCACACCAAGGGCCCAAAGGAAACTCTGGGTTCCAGAGAGTTGGATCTCTGCATATTTAGACTCTCACTTGCACCCTGACTGGAGTTTGGTCCCGAAGGGAGCCTGCGAAACAGAATATCTAAAGGTTCTATTATATGAGATTTGGTTTTCTTTGCTGGAGATGCCACACTATACAGTGGCAGCATGTTATACTACTACTCCGTAGTCTCATTTCAGGTTCTTTCTTCTAGGAAAGTTTTAAACTTTAAATTCTATGTCCAATAGGGGGTTTAAATTTTTAATTCTATGTTCCCAACTGGGAACTTTCAGCGTAGGCTACATGGCTGCTGTGTTACTGGGGACTTTCAAAATATGTAGAAGAATTGGTTTATTTGAAACATTTCTATTTTATCATGCGTGAATTTTGTTGGACTGTGGTGGAAGTACAGGGGATGGAAAAGGAAAAGAGGAAACAGATGGGATAGAAGAGGGTGATTTTACAAGACATTGTAGATTATTTGCATAATGATGATTTTTTGCTACATAATTTTTAGTATTTTTAATATGCTAAACCCTATTTAGAATTCTAAAATATGCGTAAGCATATAATGCACCAGAGGGCCTCTTAAAAATCTAAACAAATAAAGTGGCAAGAGCACTAATTATGAAAGGTTAAAGGGAATGAGAAAATGGTTGACTATGTCAGGTAATTTCATTAGCCTTGGAGGCTCTGTCAAAAGGAATAAGTGGTCTTCTGCTTCTCTGATTAGTGACAGGAATCCATTAGGAAGAGCTTGAGTGTAATTAGAAAGGAGAGATTAAAAACAAACAAAAAAGGAGTAGCGTTTAGAGAAATCATGAAATGCAGAACTTGCTAACATGAAACATAATCATAGGAGCATATTAGGTGTTCTTAGTCATTTCTTGTGCAGTATAGTTTAGAAATAGTTATAAACTAGGAAGAAAAGAGTAAATTATATAAATAGGTACTTCTCTCATACCTTTTCTTAGTTTATCAGCAGAGAAATTAAGATAGTGCAAAATACATCACACTGAGTGGCAAAAGCAAAAAGAAATTTGCCCAATAAAAGCAATTTAAAGAAAATTTCAGACAAATGCTGGAAAATCTGCTATAATCCACATGAAGAACACAAGTTTCAAAACAAGGCACTCTTGCCTTCATTCAGAGCTCTCTCTGTTGAGTCATTAAAGTCAAGTTTGTAGAAATACTGCCTCAGCTACGCAGATAAACGTGCTCACAATCTAGAAACCGTAGACTTAAATGATGGCATTGAATTGAACGGAGTGTAAATTCCAAGCATAAACCTGGCTAAATTAAAAGCAAATGGCATTGAATTTATGAAATCAGGATACAGCAAATATTAAGGTATGTCTTTAAACCAGTGAATGCATCTTCAGATTTGCTGAAGCTCAGTCAGTGACCTAACTGTGACAACGCTGAGATCAGTGTTAGCTGATTTATTCTCCTAAAGGTTGATTTAAAGATAACCCAGATTACGCACCAGTTTCAGTGATTTATCATTCTTACCCAATTTATTTACATTTAAACAATCCCTGGAACAATACTATACCAGTTTCATTCATAGTCTCACTGCTGCGAGCAGATCTGAACTCTGCATACGTAGAAAGAAACTGGCATTCCTAAGAGCGTATCATCCACCAGGAACTTCACAATAAATATAGATTAAGTGAAACAGAAAAACAACAACAACAAAAGACCAACTTTAAAGTTAGTGGTGTATTTTCTATTATGTTTACCATCATGTGGCTATATCCTTCATTCATTAAGGTAACAGCACATAGAAAAATCACAAATGTAAGAAGATTAGCTTAAAAAAAATCCACAAAATAACAGCAAGTGTAACTGCAGTTTTCTATTTCTATTTCATTGCTCGGTCCTATTGATAACATGGAACACAGTCAAGAAACTCTATGGGTGTCTTTCCACTAAAGTTCTACTACAGACACATTTCAGACTCAGGCAGATCCTGCCAAAGCTATGCCTGACTTCTCACTGTTCCCCCACCGATGTAGTTTCCCCTGCTCATTACTTTCTTTCTCGTTTCTAAACCCAGCTGTTAATTGCTTTAACCTTTACTTGTTTCCCTTGAACCCAGGAAATTTGCATGTTATTAAAACTAAGCTAACCACAGTTTTAACCTCCATTCTAATTAATGCAGTTATAACACTGCAGATGACATTTTCAAGAATATCCAGAGATCGGTCTAACTGTTACATGTCAATTGGTCTAATTCTTACATGTCAGAATTTCTGAAAATCTGGTACATGGTATTGTCATTATAATGGCATCTCCTTCACAGAATTGTATGGCTACTGTCTCCTAAGCACCATACTGTAGTCACTGCTTTATGATATTTAACATGAAATTCCACAGTAACTAGAATTGAATAGCAAATCTGTTCATGGATGTAAGAATATTTAATCTATACTTAGTAAACCTACTTTATTTTGCCTCATTGATACAAGACAGTGTAGGAAAGACTACCACAGCCAGGTATCCCTTTATTTTAATTTATGCATTTGCAATTGTATTGGTAAAATTAATGCAAAAAAATGCAAATTAAGATCCAGATATCAACATGCCAAATATAGATTCTTGTCTTCCCCCCCGCCCTGCCCCCAGAATAAATACATGACTTAGGAGAACTTACACAGCAATTATACTACACAGCTGTCAAGACATTTTACAAAAGATCCTTTGTAGATGGGGAAAGTGAAGTATTAAAAAGCAACAATTTTTTTTTCCAGATTACAAACTATTTAAAGAACAAGATTGGACTAGAAATCAGTGTGCATTTACATTGAATAGTTTTTTGGTTTGTAACTAGGTCATCAAATTAGATGCATCATCACCCAAGGGTCTCATTATAGTCAATGGCGAAAGACCGGCTGAATCGCCCCTTGGAGCTGCCCATTAAGTATAAGTATCTACAGAGCCTACGTTTCATTCTTAACGTCCCAATTAAAAATTTAATGTTAGGTAGAATGAGTCTCGGTAATCCTGCACTGTGGGCACCTTTAAGCTCCAACTTGTGTCGCAACCACATCCTCCAGCTCAGAAGTAAAGTCGGTTACATACCTCCCTGTTTCCCTCCCAGCATATCTCTCTGAAACGAAAACTAGATGGAGACCACAGTAGATTTTCTGTGATATTCTGCCGGGAACAGCATAGCTATTGACATTTCCAGGCATGCATGCTCTAAAGTCTCGAAGCTAAGGACATTGGTCTATGTGAGGCTGTAACAGATGCGAGCGGAGCCACCAGGCCAAGAGGAAAGCGGGTGCGCAGGTTTGTGTTTCCCTTTGGGAACCTGAAGGAAGGAAGGATTGCAAGCACAGCGCGGTCATGATGCAAGTTTGGAAATTGTTCGTCTAAAAGCAAAGGCTTAAGTCAATGCTGTTTCTTCATCAGTTTTTTAAATGATTTTCTTAGCAGACAAAAACATAGCCACATTGGTATTCATCCAAATGAATAAAGAACCTAAAAGTTACTTTTTTCATCTTTGGTTTGCATTCATAAGTGGGACCCCATAGTCAAAATGTTTTCATTGCCATTTTACCATATTGTCTGACTTCCTTCAGCATCTCTCAGTTAAAAATAAGTTGCTGGAAGAACTTGGAGTCTTAGTTTTTAAAACAAAATGACTGTCCTTTCCACTTTCTTTCACAGACAAGGATGAAAGAAGTACTGTTTAAGCTAAAAGGATGATGCTGGCACAAGAATGCACAATGCACGTGAGTGTAAATTGGTGACAGATACATTTGTGATGAACATGAGAAAGTGTTTAAGCATAAGATAAATGACAACCTGGTAAAGTTCTATGGAGAAGGACATTAAAAAAAATGAGTTCTAGTAGGGGAACGGGCTTTCCAATATTAACAGCACACCATGCTATGAGACCAGACCACAGATTTTAGCAATTGCTACAAGAGAAGAAAGTAAGTAATAAGGATGTTTTGCCTGACGCCTCAACATTTAGATTTTTTAGGTTTCTAATACTGGAGGTCTCACGGATTTTCGTATTACAAACACATTTGACTGCTTCTGGTAGCTTGAAGAACAGCAAGTCTCCAATGGCGGCACACGACCTGGCAATACTCAGAGCTGTAAACTACGTTCCCTGACCTGTCATACTGTCAAAGACCAAAGTAAATCATCATCAACCTGAACAATTCACTGATAATTCAAAAAGTGAAAATATTTTAACATAATAGCTGTGACCTTAGCCCACTGAGTGTCTTTGACAAGTGCCATTGAGATGTTAGAGAAATTATGAATTATGTCTGTGGTAAGTCATATCTTAGTAAGAAACATCAGAATCTTGAGACATTATATTGTAAAAAGGACTTTTATTCTACACTTCTGCATTCACCGATCTTCACAGGGAATGTGAAGCAGAGATATAGCATGAAATTACTACTTACTAGCTCAGTATCATGTGAAAGTAATGGCACATGCAGGTGCCAGTGAATTTTTAATACCATTTAGAACCAGATCTTTCATAGTGTAGGTGGAGGTTTGGTAGGTCACCGCAGTAAAAGAAAACATCCTGTCTCGATGAAAACCTTCAGTTTCTATTAAGACAATAAAACAACAAATAATAAATTAAATAAGTTGAAACAGTAACGTCATTTTTATTGCCTTTTTGCAGGTGTAAGGAGCAGAACCTACAGAAGCAGGGCTGGGACAAACGCAGCCTGATGGTGGGTGTCTGCACCTCCTCCCGGGGGGCTGCTGGGGAGGACGCCCGCCCTGGCTGCAACAGTCTTCATCTTGTACTTCTACAGTGTCCCAGAGAAGTAAGGTTTATGGGGAGGGAGAAAGCCCGCCAGCCTACGTGATGAAGTTGGCGACAACAGGGAAATTTGGGGGCACAAAGTCCTTCCTAAAGCCTGGTGAGAAGTCACGCAGCCCTAACCAAAGGAGGACAATCCCCAGCGCTTCGCATTCAATATTATAGGAACGAATCAAAACACTGGAGACAGACAAGATTTATCGGCGCCTGTAAAAGCAAGATGTACTAAGGCCTAAAGACGGTGTCCCTTTGAGATGCGCGGAGCCGCACAGCCCCAGCCTGTGGCCCCAGGCCCCGGGCCCGGGCGGCAACAGCCCGACAGGGGCCTGTTTGCAGACGGGGCCGGAGCACCTCTGCACCCCGGCCTGACCCGCTCCTTTGAGCTCTTGCTCCGTTCGTTTTCGGGGGGAAAAACCCCCCAAAGCAGCCAGGCTCACAACGAGCGAAGCTGCCGGAGTCAGGGAAGCTGCTGGAAACTGCCCCGACC